AATTTCGGATTCAGTGCTCTTTTCCATATACCATGCTGCCTTTGCCTTGGAGGGCACTATTTTTTTTTTCAAATACATAGACAGCTATAGGCCACATTAGAGTATTTATCATTTACAGGGAACCCACAGAAGTCACTAATCGCACATATTCAACCATAATGCCCTTTTCTTGATGTGCTTCCAAAGCACAGTTACCCAAATATCTGCTTGCTGTACCAGTGTTCTTCCTGAAAGGCCATTTTAGGCCTTATACATATACATATATTTAGGCCATATACATATTGGGAAAATGAAATAACACTGCTGTCAATTCAACTCAAGAAAGAGAATCAAACCAATCCACATTGTTTTGGCTTTTTTTCATTTATTTTTCTTTCAACCCTTAGTGACCTTTTTCTGTTATTTACCATCAATGTGCATGAAAAGCACCAAGGTTAAAAAAATGATTTCAAGTTAGTGGCTTACAGGTGTACAGGTACCCCTTTGAACCAAGTACTTAGTGCATCAAAAACTGGGAAAACAAAGAAAAGGCATAATCAACACCTTAAACAAGCTACTCAAGGCATAAAACCACTGCTGGGGAACCTTCTTGGCTAAAACATCCCTGTGGCTCTTATCACTGAACCAATTTTGTTATGACTTTTAAAGCAACTATATTTCTTCATAAGGGCCAACATTTTTGATGGGGATAATATATGGTCCTTCCAAGTCAAGAAGATTAGTAATCTTCCAGAAAAACTTGGAAGTTGATGACTTGCATAGCTGGAGTGGCCTGTGCTATGACCGTCCACACAGAACCATAAAACATTATAGTTGGAAGGGAATTTAGAGACTCTCTACTCCAACCCTCTCATTTTACAGATGTAGAAACTGAGGCCCAAAGAGATAAAGTGACCTACCCAGATCAAAGAGTCAGTCATTGGCAGATCCAGGACCACACATAAGTTATACAACATGCCAGAGTTCAGTACCACCCTGAGACTGAACTGTATATTTTTTAATATCAAATATCAAACTGCTTGTTCTCAGTACTGAATCAATAATACACAATGGGAAGAAAATAGTCCTGAGTTAACTCTTTGGTATTACCATTTTAACTCCTATAATACTGCATATTAGAAATACTGTAAACACTAAACAATTGTTGGTATCTTGTCATATGCAAGAATAATTATGAAGAAGGATTTTCATATCTTCACATGTATTAAAATGTGCTGATGTTGAACAGTTATGAGTATACTGGAGTAGACTATCTGGATAAAGTTGGGGAAATGGATGATCCAAACCTGATTTATGAGTTGTTTTTCCTTTCAAATGTCACAGGCACCAAATCAAACTGTGAAAAGAAAAATCATCGCCTCTGTACTTTCATACCTAAGTTTAATGTCCCTTGGATACAATATTCTTGTCAATGTGCCATCAGGGAAAATCTAATTTCTTAGCTAGTTTTAATAAAAAAAAAAAAATCTTCTCTGTTCCTCAAGGTGACTCTTTTTCATATTAATTTGCTTCTACCTACTATCTGGGTAATTCAAGAATTTTGCAACTGGACAAGGTAACACCTGAATCAGTCCCCCCACATGCTGGAGCTAAATTTGGGGAAAATATGTCATCATAAAGCATTCCCCTTTCTGACCACAGAAAATTGAATTATGGGCTAGAAACAAGGACAAGAGTGGCACAAACACCATTTCAGTATTCACATTACTACAAAAATAAACATTTTGCATAATACTTATATATTTCATCAAACAAGAGGCTAAAATATAACCTGGCCAAACTGAAGAAATTCTGGAATACGGGTCAATCGCATTCTTGAGGTATGTAATGTAGTGCTGCCAGGAAATGACTTCAAAAAAGAGAAAGAAAAACTTCCAATGCCATTTAATGCTTCAGAGCCTTCTATATGCCGTGCTCTGGTGGCCAACTAAAGTGCTTAGGCTTTTGGAAGTCCAATAGATCCTGGATTAACTTCCTGCAGGCTTCTTTTTTCCCTAGTAGTTTTAATGCAGGGCAGAACCTGGGGCCTTTTATTCACATTAACAGGTAGAAAACACACAGAAGTATATGTTCTAACCCTCAGCGTACAACTTTGAGACCTAAAGAAATCAACTAAAGTGGTAAACGTATTTGTTAAAACTCTAAGTCCATTTGGTTTTGACTGAAAATTTCCATCAAACAGGTATGTTCTACTTTCATGAAAGATCAGATTTTTATTTAACTCAAAGTATTCATAGTCATAAGAAATTATTGAAAGACCAATGACTGACTTCACACAAACCAAAGAGCAACATTCTCTTAAATGTCCTCAGCTGCCACAGATCTGGGCTGCTTATGATCAAGGAAATTCAAAAGGAAATTCCCAGGAATCTTATTGGCAGGGGGTGGGGGTAGGGATGGAGCTGTGCAACTGTCTTATAATCTATTTTATTTTCAGTTTAACTATAATACCCTCAAGGGATTAAAGAAAATTAAAATAATCTCTAACTCTGTGTGAGTGAGAGAGAGATACCTGTCAAATGGTTTACTCAGTAGTCGTAGTAATTAAGAACTGAGGTGGAAATTCTTATTCCATTATTCAATCTGGACTGTACTAGGTTATTTCACTACATTATGTTTTCCTATCTACAAAAAGAAAATTGTAAAAAATTTAGTCAAATTGACAGAAACAGGAGAAATCAGTTTTTCTTTTCATTTCATGCAGTCTAAAGACTGTCACTTAGCATTGCCAAATCAGGGAGCTACCATATTGCTCTCATCTCACTTTTATGCCCCTTTTTTGCCTCCAGAGTAGCTGATGCCAGAAATTCCGCAAGGAATTTTGATAGGGATAGGAGAGAGGCAGCCAGCAAAGGGAAGAAAGCAGAGGCCACAGAATGCAAGGGCATATGAAAGGCAGGTGGTCAAATATCAAGGGACGAGGCAGGAAATAGTCACACTTATTCTCCTTTTCAACCCCAAAAGGAAGCAATGGGGTGGGAGTGGAAGGTAAAGAAAAGAGTTCTGTGAGCTATTGAACCTTAGCAAATGTGGCAACTGGGAAAAACAAACAAACCAACCCTAGTGCCATTTTGATGCTAACAGTGGAAGAACCCTCTTCAAATCTGCCAAGTTTGACACACTTCTGACACACTCACACTTAACTGACATATATACTGTAAGTTCCATGATTCTCTTCCCCAGTAGGGACAAAGAGGGCCAGTTTCTTGCTCTAGTGAAACTTGTTTTTAAAAAAGGGACAAGGAATAAACAATCTAATTATCTTGCCTAAGAACTCAATGCCTCCCCCACAGGAAACCTTTCTCCCCCACTGAGGTTGGCTGAACTAGCTCACCCAAAGAAAACAGAACGAACCAACCGTATCTATATTTTTCTTTAGTTTTCATCAACCTATTCTGCCGACATTGTCAACTATTGAATGCAGAGTTGCGCCCTTTCCCATCCTGTGGCTGGGTTACAAAACAAGAGCATAAGCATCCTTGCTACAGCTGGGAGATAGGCCTGGAAGACAACTTCCTTGCCTTGTGAAATTGCTGTACTAGTAAATCTGCTTATTCAGGGAGAAAAATGAAAAGAACCAAATGAGCCTGCCATGAGTGCAGAAATAATATAAAATGCCTTCCCTCCAGAGTCTGGGTGTGAGGGGTTAATAATATAGTTGGATAACTATCATGTACCCTAATGTGGTACTAAACATTCACTTGTTTTGTTCATTTTCTGTTTTCCACATAATGTGCCCATACATGTGTGTATGTGTACACACACACACACACATACACACACAGTAACTATTTCTCTGTCCCTGCGAACACACAACTAACTCTATGTTCCACATTATGCCTTTTCCACTGTATTCCTTTGACCAATTATCTTGTTTTCTTCAGTAACAGGGAAAGTGACAAACACAGCATCTGGCTTGCAAAGAACACGTTTGCTTGACCAAGACCTGCTGGCTTGACAGTTTAGAAGAAATATATAAGGCTCATTTTGCTGACATCATGAGCATTCTCTTTACTGTTTGCCTATTCAGAATGTGGACCCCAAAGTGTCCTTTGCCTGTGACCGAAGCTAGGAAAAAAATGCAGTAATATTCAAAACTCTCACTTCCTAATCTTATATGATAGCTAGAGAAATGTGGAGCTCAGCTGTATCAATAATCTGGTCAAGTTTTGAACAGTTGCCAAAGGCATATGATGAGGCAGGGGCCTGAGCAGCACCGGAGGAGGGCATGCCTAATAAATACTATACAGTATTGAATGACATCTATACAATATTAAATGACCAACCTTTGAGGGAACATAGGAAGTACTGTCACGATATAAACGTACCTATCACTGATTTGATAGAGGGACTTTCAAACATTTGGCTAACAGAACCTTCTTCCCCAACCTCTAACCTCACTAGGTACCAGCAAGAACTTGGGACATCAAATTTGCTCTCTTTGATATAATGACTGCTCTGGGGTAGATGATATTTGTAGAAGGGTGAGAAGCTGAGCTGCTAACTACCCAGCAGAATTGGACATCTGTCACTGCATTTGTGTCCTCTTAGCACAAAAGCTTAGTTAACAGATTATCGCTTCCTAAGCTTGATAACCAATCCATTTACATGCATGCTGGCCCCCAACTTCCCAGTGCTAGAAACAAGATAGAAGAGAAAGAAAAGAATAAAAGGGGGAGCTCTGACCATCACACACTTCTTTTGTTATAGCAATATGCTTCCACCTAAGAGATGTCATCTTTTCCAAATGGCAGAGAATGAGAATTATCCATATATCTCTCCACATCGGTGGCTCTGGTTCTACAGATATAATTCTGGGGATCAGTGAAGCTTGCAGGTTGCTCTCTCTCATCTTTTTTATTATGAAAATGTCTATACTTTTGTTTCTGATTGACTTTAATAATTTAATAAATCCAGATGTAAAACATAAATAACCTCAGTAGGAACATCCTAAACCAACATGAATCTCCTGTTAATTCAGACAGAATTTGGCTTTTTTTTTTAAAATCACATAAAATGGATGAAGTAAGTGGCCCACATTTCAGGAACCACTCATGTACATAATATATAGATAGACCCCTTGACAATGTTGGAATTGGCAAAGATAACATCTGAATGGTGAAGTCCTAATGTTACAGAGAGAGATTAGTACAAGGTGGATGTGATTAAATTAAACTTTAATTTCATAAACATTTATTTTGTTTACTGTATGCAGAGTACTGTGTTAGGCACTTAACTGCACAGTCCTTGAATATGGGAGGAATAGGGGAGAGGTCAGTATTTTGGAAATGTACGGTATCTCTATGCCACTGCCAGTAGTGTGTGCATTACAAATATTCCACAATACCTATGGTCATGGATTCACTACCCTTCCTTACTGGCTCTGATATAAGTGGTACCATGGTTTCTTCTACAGGGTACAGGCCTGATGGGAGTTGTTTATACTCCCTTCTGGTTTCCCTTTACTTATATTTTTAAGTGGTGAAATTTAGGTCAAAAGAACATCAAGGACCACAATGTGGGGAAAAATTAAGAGAGGGTTTGGGGTGAGGTTGAAGAGGGGTCAGCACAAGCAATCCCACCCACCTTCCCTTGGAGATGGGGGAGGAATTTATATAGGTGGTTTGTTTTCCATTAGCTAGAGTAACCACCTTCTTCATACCTGGCAGAATCACTGCCCAGCTACCAAATCTCACAGCAGCATTACCAATTCACCATGACAATTTCTACATTTTCACTCAGACCAAAGGAGAGGATAGGCAATACAGGAACCTTGGAGCCCTGAGTTAGACATAGCAGCAAAGGAAAATGTCACCTTTTCACTCGACAGGCTCAAGCAGCTGACATGAGCTGAATCTCCCCAAACCCTTGTGTTCACTCAGCATTCTCCTCACTTTCTCCCTACGTGCCTTCTCAGCATGACCCAAAGGGACACCCCCACGTCGCATGGCCATTGGCTGAGCAGAGAGCCCCTCGAGCCTGCATTTGGGAAGCTGATCCTAGATGCTGAAACTCCACCATGGCTTCAAGTCCTACTCCTCCAGGGAGATGCTCGTCTTTCTTTTGGAGCTTCCGCTGCTTTCTTCTTTTCTGCCTGCTCTGCTTTTCTCCTCTCCTCCTTTGCTTCCTTGTATCTCCATTTAGGAATCTGCAGATAGGTATTATCCTTCACACTTCGGCTCTTCTTCTTCACTCGTTCTGGCTGAAAAGTGGGAGTGGGGGCCTTGTTGATGCGGACCTTTGGAATGACAAAGCCTGGTCTCACGCTACTCCTCCTTAACAAATGCAGGGGTAAGAGGCTGGCCTTCCGGGAAACTGCAGAGCTCCCCTGAGCAGTTGTAAAGTTGCACGTTTGGGGAACCACCTCAACCTGGCAGCTCTGAAAGACCTCACAGCTCTCCACCTTGCCCTTCTCATGATCGTGGGCTTCTCCAGTGTTTTGGTGCCAGAGGATCTCCTGCACTGCAAGGCGCCTCTTCCCCACACAGGGGGGGTTCTCAGGGCACACAGTCTTGCAGGCAATTGCCACAGCAGGGCTGTGGAGACTCGTGGTCATTCGAACCATATGGTCAAGGACTCCCCCATCTTCAGGTCCTTGGACGTGGCGGGAAGACAAGATTGACCGAAAGCACTCAGTTAGCCTCTGTAAACAGCTCTTGGGCTCTGCTGGTTTGACAAGAATGTCCTTCACCACTGGCCACTCTGGCTTATACTGTTCACTGAACTGCTCTGGACAGGGCCTGTCCAACAGTCTCTGAATAACCCAGACAGCCTCAGACCTGCCTGTATAAGATGCCCATTCCCGTGGAGTCATCCCTCTGTTGGGATCGGTTGCATGGACATCTGCTCCTGAAAAATGAAGACAAAAAAATAAGAACTCTCTCTCTACTCCCCACCCAAAAAATAGAACAGAGATAATTGAAATTGAACTCAATTTAAAATGCTTAACAACTCACTGTGTATTGCAGGTATCTCATCTTGGGAAAAATCTAATTCCCAAATGTGGGCATTTTGTATTATTATCATAATCACCAACAACTATGAGTAGAAATCAAACTTTCATTCTTACATTCTATTTGGTGCTTTATCTTTCTGGATTCTATTCTCACTAATCTGCAGTTTGGAGTATATGAGGATGTATAAAAACTTTTGTTACTTTCTACTACATAGAGAGTCTTATCTCTATGCTAACAAAGGTCCCTTGGAACCTGCTTCAAGAAATGGATAAGAATAATTTTTAATTATGATTTTAATTGGTGGTATGTTAAAAGATGCTTCTAAAGTACCTGGAAACAGTTTACACTCAAGTAGGTTAAGCATTTCCCTTGACCTACAATTTCATTAGTTGGGAATCAACAATAAGGAAACTCCTATTATCAATGGACATCTTATGAATGAACACATGCAAAGCACTTTACAAGCGGAAAAACCAGTACATACCTGCTAGCTATAATAACAATAATAATAGCTAGCATTTGGGTAGTGCTTTGGTTTGCAAAGTACTTTACAAATATTTCATTTTATCTTCATTACAAGTCTGGGAGGTAGGTGCTATCATTATCCCCATTTAACAGATGAGGAAACTCAGGCAAACAAAGATTAAGTGATTTGCCCAAAGTCATACAGCTAGTAAACGTCTGAAGCCAGATTCAAACTTAAGTCTTCCTATCTCCAGGTCCAATGCTCTATCCACTGTACCCACTAAAACTGCAAAATTAAAGTTTTTTTAAAACCCCATAAATTTTAATTGGCCCCAAATCATAATGCTAATTTGACAAAAGACTGAATTTCCCTTTACATTGTAGTTTTCTATAATAGGAACAAGATACAGAAGTACAAATATGCCAGTTGAATCAAAGACGGCAATGATATTCCATAAGGAGAAGGGGAAAAAAAGAGGAAAAAGAATTTAGCTCCCTCTCCCCCTCTCTCCTCCACCCCATTTAAAAAAGATGGAGATCACTCCATCCCAGGAAGCTGAGAATCACCCAAACCCAACTAGACACCTGCTTAATGGCAGTTACTCACGGGATAGACTCATGATTGAAAGGGAGCAAAATTAAAATCTTGATGAACAATTCATTATTAATGAACAATTCTTATTATCAATGCCTGATCTGCAATTTATTGTTAATTATATAACTTAATCTCTTGTTTACAGCACTGAAAAGTTTGGTGACTTGACTAGGGTCATACAGCTAGCATGTGTCTGAGGTCAAATTTGAATCTGGTCTTCCTGACTCCAGGTCCAGCACTCTATTCACTGTGCCACCTAGTTGCCTAATATTGTCAACCTCTGCTTGGCAATGTATAGTTATATAACTGATATAGACGTCTAGAGGAGAGGTATCCAATATGCTGCTGCCATCTTAGCCCTCTGAGTGCCAGGAACCAGATTAAAATCTAATTGGGCTATTTTTGACAAAATATATAAAAATAAAAAGTAACATTAATTTGTGTTTTTTCTAAGTTATTAATATGTTCCTGTAGGGATCCACTTCTATTGAATTTGTCACTACTGATCTAGAGCACTGGGAGGTTAGGCAACCTTCCCAGGACCACAGAGCCAGGCTGTGTCAGGGAAGAGACTTAGAAATTGACTCTCAGTCCATTATACCCACCCATCTACCTTTCAGTAATCCAAGTGAACAAAAATTTATTGTACTGCCCACCCCAAAACAAAGCCAATTGCACAAATGGCTATAAAATTATTTGAGACTTCTGCTTTTAGTAACAGTATCTCTAGCAGAAAAGCAATGGGATGATTTAGGGTAGTAATCTACATAATCAGGTAATGACCATTTTTGGCCTCCCATGCCGCTGCTCAGTTCTCCTCTTGGCCAAAGCTGGCCTAGCAGTACTTCAGTACATCCTCATTTTCAGACAAATTAAAGAGCTATGTGGGAAGTAGCTGCAATTATTTAGAACTGAAAATTAGGAAGTAACACTAGCTGAAGTACAATTTATAAATTGACTAAAAAGGAAACAGGGCCCTAAAAATGTCATTACAAAAAATAAATGGCACATTAAAACTAAATTAATTGCATGTCACTTAAAAGAGAACAAACTGCAAAATTAAAATCTTAATGAACAATTCATTGTTTGAAAGAGACATTTTTTAAATGCTAATGGAACACAAAAGGAACAGCTGTCAAAATTTTAAGAATCTTCTCCCTGTGGAGAAAAATCTGCCTTCCTTTTTGCCCTCTGTGTATGATCTTGGGATGTACAAAAGATTCAAAAGATCAGAAGGCATTTCCGTTATGAGACATTAAATAGCCCTAGATTTTCTGTGAGACGTATCATAAATCAGGGTGAACTCTAATTCAAAAGACCTATTATCAAACTGAATATTAATGCTATAGATATAGCAATTAAATAATGGACTATAATGGACTGATGTTAATTATTTTATACTTACGTCATGCTATTCAATGAAAACCTCAAAGAATTGTCATATTAATCATTTTACAATGTGACTATCATTAGCTTTTCCTCCTTCTCTATCCACTGTTGAATCCAGAACCCTACTCCCTGACCATCCTGAGAAGGAAAGGCTGGAAAACATCAAAGATGCCACTGTCCTAGTACACAGCTCTTAACCGTAGAGATATGAGACCCCCAGCTCACCCACACTGAATACATGCACCTATAGAGGGCTCATGGTGGGTGGCAAGAAAAGAGGCAGGGCCTGTTCCCCCTTCCCATAGCTAGCTTACTATGAAGTAGATTTAGAAGGTGCTTGATAATCATTTAGCCAGAAGACTAGCTAAATTGTTAGCAAAGTGATTCCGTGGAGCTGGGAGGGACTGGGTCAACTGGTGCTAAAATAAAAAAACTCAGCTCACATTTATATAATGCAATTACAATGACAAAACGCTTTATCTCATTTGACCCTTATAACAACTCTGATGTTGGCAGTGAAAGCACCACATTTTGCAGATGAGGAAACTGAGGCTCAGACAATTTAAGTGTTTTGTCAAAGGTTATACCTTATGAGTCAGGTTTTCTAACTCCAATTACCACTCTTTAAAAAAAAAAAGGTGAGGCTTAGAGTGGTGGCAACATTTTATGACTGTGACTGAGAAGAGAACTTAGATCTTTTCTAGCACAACTACATTTTTCAGGTGAAGAAACTGAAGACCAGAGAAATAAAGTGATTTACCCCAAAACACAGTAAATGATGGAGTCATCATTTATACCAGGTCTTATGACTCTGAATCTACTGGACTTATACCCAGTCAGCCACATATACAATACCCTCCAACCTTCCACCATCAGTAAAGCAAAGGGGGTAGGAATATATACACAATCCTCTGGCTACATATTTTATCTTTCCCCCTTTCAAAGCTGTTCTACGTGTCTATTTTAATGACTTCACCTGCATAAAAATATTGGGGTGGAGGGAGAAGTGATGAGAAAAGTTTGCTCAGTGGTTTATCTTCCCTCCTAAGCATCATCCATCTACTGCCACTCAAGAATCCATACTAGACAGACTTTGTGGTACAAATAAAAATGGGGACCAAGACAATATTGCCTCCTATTGAAATGAATCACAAAGAGAGACTTCCTGGCAAATACAGGGAGAAGAAATGGAAGCAGTGGTAGATTTTATATTCTTGGATTCAAATCAGTCAATACTTAAAGAATTAAATTCAGGCTATTCCTTGGAAGGTCAAATGCTAAAGCTGAACTTAAATACTGTGGTCACATAATGAAAAGATGAGACTTTCCAGAAAAGACTGATGTTGGGAAAGATTGAAGGCAAAAGGAAAAGGAGACAGCAGAGGATGAGATAGTGTCATGAAAGCAATGAACACGAACTTGGACAGACTTCCAGAGATAGTGGAGGACAGAAGGGCCTGGTATGTGATGGTCACCCAGAGTCAGACATGGCTGAATAACTGAACAACAACAACTAAACTATAAGCTCATTATGGATACTTTTTGTATTTATAGTCCCAGTATTTAGCAAAGTGGCTGACACAAATAAATAAATGCACTGATTAAGCTTGAGCATTCTCTCCAGAATGCTGATTAGCACCTTTGAGGTCTTTAATAAATGTTGACTGTGTTTGTGGTTTAGTGGAAAGAGAAATGTATTTGGAGTCAGAGGGCATGGGTACTATGAGACCTTGGGCAATTCACTTAACTTCCCTGGGCTTCGGTTTGCTCATCTATAAAATGAGGGCATTCAACTAGATGATGTCAAAGGTCCTTTCTAGCTTTAACTCCTATGATCCTAAGACTCTTATCTAGAAATCAGTGAAGGTGTGACCTCTAGTAGAGGATGAAGTAGACAGAGGAGACCAGTCCAGGTTCTCCACTAACCAGCTGAGTGACAAGCCACTTCTATCCTAGAAACTCAGTTTCCTCATTTTGAAAAATAACAGAAGAGAGCCTGATTACTATAAAGGCCCCTTTTAACTCTAATATTCTATGAGCTCTTTGAAAAAATGACTAAATTTCTTTTTTACAACCAAAAAACCTGTTAGCAAAACTGCTGGCATTGAAGCTACTGCCTTTCAACCATGTTAGTGTTAACATGTAAAAGGACTTGTCTTGTAATCAGCTGCTTGGGACTGAATAAATACTGAAACAGCATCCATGTTCGCTGCTTCTTAACCTAGTCTCACCCTTATGGACCTCACCACTGTACAGGTTCCCAGGTGGTTTTCAATGAAAGCTAGGCCCAGAGTTTTCCAGATTAAGAGGTGATTAGTCTTATCTTTGGAGAAAACATCTACACTTACTCACTGAAACCTGACTTACCACATGTTATATTTCTACCACTATTTTCTGTTTGTTGTGTGCTCTTGTCGAGCAAATCCAATATGCAATCTGTACTATGTATATAAACACAAAGGAAATAAGGGTATGAAGCAGAAAAAAAATATGGATATTCATCTGAGAGTCTAATTTGGCTTCATGAAAGCAAGTAGTTTGGAGTTACCTGAGGGCAGGATAGTGTATGAGTGACTAGGTCCTGTTCATTATTACAATTCTTCACTCACCCACATCTATATTAACTTTATGAAGTAGGATGGACATGAATATTCAAAGATGTTTTTCCTTTGTTTTTCCCAAACGCCATAACAGTTCCACCTTACTTGGTATATGCCATTCAGGTTTGAAACTGAGCCCTGAAGCTTCTTCTTAAAAAGAGAAAACAAGTATCACCACTGAATTATGTTTTTATGTAGATAAAATCATGCTCTGAATACAGCCTTCTCAGGGCAACTTATTTAAACCGACCTGTCACTTTGGGAATATTAATATTCTACCAAATTAATAAGGTTTCACATCCCTTGAGATTATAATCAGCACAGCTGGTATTGCTGATGTGTTTGTCCTTAGTAACCACAGTAACAAAGTTCCAATAAATCAGAATTTCAGAACCTTGGAGAGAGAAAATCCTTTATTGAACTATAATTTTTTATTATTAAATTCCAGAGTTTCTGAAATTTCTAATATCTCTTCATTCTGCTTGATCAGAGCAGATAAAAGCAGTTATTGATGTGTGACTCTATAGTATATACGCTATGAAGATGTTAGTTTGGGAGGAAGGGCAATCTGATAAACAATACATCATTTGTTTAAAAAAAAAGGCGGGCGAGGGGGGAGTGGGGGAGAAGAAACACCATTCTTGTTGAATACAATGAAATTGGGGCCAGAAAAATTCAGCTCACAAAGGAATGTGGCAATGGATGAGTTGGAGGGCAAAATACATTTCCACCTTAACTTTCAATATGGAGGTACTCCTGTGTCTTTCAGTTCTCTAATTACAGTCTCACAATGATCATATTTTCTTGGTCAAAGTTATAGAAGGCACCCTATCTCAAAAGTGCAAACACTGAAGTTTTAAGCCATAAGGAATAAAATGTTATTAACAACAACAACAAAAACCCCAGGACTGGACACTACCATTAATTTCCTTTTCTTAAGACTGAAGTATGGCATAGTATATAGAGCCAGCCTTGGAGCCATGAAGATGTGGACTATACTCATACCTCTGACACATACTAGATATATGATCTTAGCCAAGATACTTAACCTCTTAATAACTCTCGGTGCTGATCTGCACTACTAAGGGGAGGAAAAGGGAATAGGCATTATAAATAGTAATATAATAATAATAATATATAATCTATGTGCCAGGGACTGTGCTGAGCACTTTTTTATTTTTTAACAAATATTATCTCATTTGAGAAAAGATAAATAGGAGTTTCATCATGTAAGAATTCCTTGTTCTAGCAAAATTACAGGTCTAGTCCTTATCCTTATTTAATATTGAAGATAAATAAGGTGGAATCCAAACCCTGAGACTGACGCAGATAAAATCCCCTATAATAACAGTATACTTTTTTGTTATTTGGAGAATATAGAACAAGATGGGGAATTAATACAGAAAAATCAGGGAGAGATGCTTTACTACTTTTACTGATAAGATCAACTCTATTACCACCAATTAGAAAAGCAGTTGTTAATACTTCATCAAGGTGATCTGATAACCACTGATAAAACTGAAGATGAAATAAACACAACACAATATTCCAGACTAATTATTTCTCCCCAGAAGATGGAGAAAGGGAAAAAATCTGAACCCTAAATACCAAATTCACATTTTTCAGACACTTTGTATTAAAGACAAAATTTGAACTCATCTACTGTATACTTTCAATGAATTCATTCTTAAAAACTCCTATCTCATGATTGGTGAACCAAGATGCCAAGATACCTGAAACACCTACTGATGCAGTAGGCAGATAATGTATCTGGAGCTAAAACATGGGTCCTCTTTTCATCAACAATATGCTAAAAAGCTTTAGAAGCAATTGGTCAAAAAAGTTAAAAATTCAGATTCAGTTCCACCTGTGCCTGGAGTCAGGAAGACCTGTGTTCAAATTCTACCTCAGACACTGAATAGCTGTGATCTTCAGCAAGTCATTTAATCTCCTTTTAGCTCAAGTTTCCTCATCTGTAAAATGGAGATGGTAATAATAACATCTAACTTCTAGGGTTGTTGTGAGGATCAAATGAGATGTTTGTAAAACATTTTGCAAACCTTAAAGAGCTATTATTATTATTATTATCACTTCAAAGAACCATCATGTCATCAGATATGTATGACAACCTTCCTATACCTTAGAAGACAGTCTTCAGAGAACCTTAAAAAAGTGATCACCAGGAGCTTCACATTCTGGTAATGAGTCTCTCCAAACTTAGCTAGGCTGCTCCTTGGACAAGAGACAAGCCGATCACCAGGCTAGTACTCACAGATTTAGAATCAGAAGGGACTTCCACAGAGGTCATCTAATCCAACACCTTCATTTTCCAGATGAAGGAGCTGAAACCAAGGAAGGTCAAAGCCTTTCCATCTGGTTAGGACCTGGCAAGTTTGTGCTCCACAAACATAACTTGAGAACCCAGGGTCATCCCATGGTGGATTTAAACATTGGAGTAGAACTTTAGTAAAGGAAATGATTAAACATGCTACCCTGACAAACAGAGGTGATAAATTTAAGGAGCAGAATGAGATGTTTCTGTATGTAGACAATGTGTGATTAGTGGGTGGGGGGTGGAGAGGGTGGTATGCATTAGACAATGCTTATTTGGCATGAGAGAAAGGTTATATAAGGGATGTGGAGGAGAGGTGGTAATAGTGCTACCAAGGGGGCAAAAAATGTCATTGAAGCATTTTTCTTTAAAGCACAGAAATTAACAGAAGAAAGTTCTGAGGGAGACAAAGATAAGCAGGTCAACTTTGAAACCAAGGTGTTAAATATATACTTAATATACTTTAAAAAACTCAAGTTATACAAATTAGAGATTCAGTTTCATACACAGTGCTCTTTTTTCTGTTCTCTGTAAATGGAACTGCTATTATTTGTTGGCATTTGTTAAGTTTAGAATATCAAAATCAAATTATTATAAATAACAATTCTCTCTCTCTCTTTTTTTTTTGGTGACTTTGGTGACTTAAGTGACTTGCCCAGGATCACACAGCTGGAAAGTGTCAAGTGTCTGAGTCTGCATTTGAACTCAGGTCCTCCTGACTCCAAGGCCGGAGCTCTATCTACTTCACCACCTAGCTGCCCCAACAATTCTCTTTAAAAAAACAAAACAAAACAAAAAAAACCTGCTCTGCTATGATTGTTGAATCAAATTTTTAATTGGGAATGTAAAATTCTTCAGCCACAGCAACTCATAAAAACCATTCTACTAACACATAGAGAAGGCTTGGTCAGCACTAGTGGAGGGCGTGGACTCATTTCCGTCTCTTTGGAAGCTCTTCCCTTCTGCATTATTTCTCAAAATGAAAGTATACTCTATCCCTGTGCCTTCTCCCTCTGACTATTTCCTCCTGGAGCCTCATATTAAGGAGGCACCCCATGTTAATCTGTCTTTCTTCCTCTCCAGGCTACACTGCTAACTCCATAGGACTTACTCTACCATGCTGCCCCTCACCTGGTACCTTCAATTTCAGCCCCCTTTTCATCTTCCTTTTATTGTAGACTTCTCCCATTATATTGTAATGTCCTTGAGGGTTTTTCTTACTGTTTGTATTTATATTCCCAGCTCCTGGAATGCAGTAAGTGATTAGTAAATGCTCATAGATTTGACTTGATGCAGGCCTCAGAAATCATGAATCCCTGAAGTATTCAACTGTCATTTAATCCCAACCTAGAAGTCACTGATTGCTCCTGACCCTCACCTTTGATATATCAAGTAGCTTTGTGGTTAATAGGATCAGGGCACAAACTCCTGAGGAAGGAGGATGTGGACAGTATAGATATGGGGGAAGGCAGCCAAGATCCACGGTAGACAGGAAATATGGAATGAGACTAACTTTGGAATACCTCCTGCAATTTTTAATAGCTTTTTCTTTTGTTTGTTTATTTGGATTGGGGTGACAATAAACCTCATAAAATAAAATGTTCTCCAAGACTACTGATATTTGTAAACATAGGGCTTTGTTAACATACTAATTGTACACTAACACCTGGATATCTTTGAATAAAAAACACAATTTTAATTGTCCCCTGACCCTGTGGAGAGTGCAAGAGATGAGAACCTACCAAAGTAGAGATTACCACATACCTGCCAACATTAAAGCTCGGATGCATTCAATTCGACCTTGCATGGCAGCTTTCATCAGAGCTGTGTATCCAAATACATTCCTTCTTTCAAGGTCAAGACCAGGAAAATAGTTCAGCAAGTAGTTGGTGATGATTATGTGCCCTGAAAAGAAAGTTGAACAGACACACATGGATGTATATATAAACACTCTTTATCTAGACTGATTATTTCATCATGTTGGGAATCACTAGTATAGAAATCTTCTGACCTTTCACCTGACAGCTTCTCTGTAACTGAGTCAAGAAAGTTGCCTGGGACAGTACATGTCAGAAGGAGGCCTCGAACTCAGGTTTTCCTGACCAAAGGCAGCTGTCTACCCAATATACCAAATATGCATGAGCATAAGAAGGTATGTGGACAGGTATGGGTAGGGGCAGGGAAGGGAAACAGAGGTAGTCACTTCATTAATTAAAAAGCTAAATGTGGCAATAAGTTATTTCTTTCCCATTCACTAAAATCACTTCAAAAGTTTCTTTCTTTGACACTTGCAATATAAATTTTACAATTTAAAGATTTTTTTTCCCTTTCGTACTTCTTTGAGTTACCAATAATTATTTTCCATGTAAACACAGTCTAAGTAAAGAAGAGTAAGAAAATAAGAGAAAAAGCAAAGAAAGCAGAATACTTCCAGATTTTCCCATTTATTTTTACCACCTATGATTCCTTCCCAGTTTATGACCCTCAGTCACATTCTGATAATATGGGGCTGTCCTACTGATCTCTAGCAAACGGATAACTTGAAATCTATCATTAAGAAGTAGGGGAAATAAGTGATGGAGTTCCAGGTGCCTGAACTCATCACGGTAGTGAATCTCCTAACTGTAGACATCTGACACAATCTAGGAATTAGCCTCTGATGCCATCAACAGCATGAAACACAGATACAAATAAGGACAGTTTCCAAATCACTCTGACAATCAAAAAAGAAAAAGCTTTCACCACTGCTATAAGATTTGACTAATATATGCCAGAAGTTCCTATCAACACACAAGACATCATACCACATTGTGGCAAGGAACATCAGATTGGAGAATTTTCTAGATTATTTCTACTTTCTCTACCACTAGCTTTCCTGGTTAGAGCCTCATTTCCTAATAGTTTTCATTATGCTTATTAATTCTATAGGCAGCTAGGTGGTACAGTAGATAAAGCACAGGACTTGGAGTGAGGAAGAAATGAGTTCAAATCCTGCCTCAGGCACTTCTTAGCTGTGTGACCCTGGGAAGCCATTTAACTGCTATCTGGTCATCTATAACACTCACTTTTGCAGGGTTGTTAGCAAACCATAAAGTGCTATATAAATATTATTATTGTTATTATTGCTGTTTTTAGCATCATCTTATAGCATCATATATTATATGCATTATAGCATCATATAGCCTCAGTCCAGGGGGTAGAACTGAAGAAAAAAATCAACCGATCAGAAATCCTGCTGGCTTGCTCATAGAATATCTTATCCAAATGGTTTAACAAAATGGCACCAAACAAAAATTGCCTAGCCCCTCCCCCAACCCCCAGTAAAGTCTCCTGAGTAACCACATATTCCCAGTTCCCTCCAGCTCTAGGTTGCGATGAAGTCATTCTGGTATATCAGAATCTCTGTTCCTGCCTTAGTCAGGAATAGGTTTTATTTGCCCCTGGCAGGTTATAACCAATTCCTGGTTATGATCAACACCTATAGACCTAAGGGCACTGACACCCAGGCAGACATCATGAAAGGTGGGCACATTTGCCTTGCCTATTTATGGAGAATCATTAATAATCAGATCAGATGGGTAATTTCCTTATTTGAGGCTAACATCAGAGGTTCAGTGAGTGATGCAGGAGCTGGCCTCCTGGCTTAAAAGAAAAAAGAGTAGAGTTGTGATTGGTCAAAAGAAATCATGTCTACTTATCATTTACATCTTCACCTCATCTACTAGCCTTTCTGCAGACAATGTAGCTCTGCAAGTGATGTGTTACCTAAAATAATCACATCATCACAGGGCCTACAGTCCAAAAACAAATTAATATTAGGTTATAGCCATGTGATTCACAGATCAAGACAAATATCTATTTCCTTTCTGACTCATTTACATCACTCTCATTCTCCCCTACTCCCCTTTGCTTGGCATTTATTTAGTAAGGGTGTGAAAGCTGGTATGGTAATGCAAGCTGTCAGGCAGCTGCAACAGCTTAATTGTGGCAAACTATAAAAGAATGCTCTTTGATCTCATTCTGTAGTTCAACTGAATGCTTTGTGATGTGTCAGTTAAATTTGAGTAAGAATGTAACTGAAGTAGATTGCAATTTGTTCAGAGTCATTTTTCTTCCTATCTGAAATACTGTATCCACTGCAATTTTCAGCAGGAGGTGTTTTGCACTGACCATGTCCTAAACACTTTGAAGAGGAGAGAAGAGAAAAAATTGAAAATCCACAAAGCAAACTGCCTGTTATACACAGTAGGTAGTGTTCAAATTAGACTGTCTCTCTATCTTATGCTTCATTCGGGAGAATGGCCATGCAACCAACGAGTCCTGATTATGGGTTTGACTTCTCAATGGTCTACGAAATTACTCAATGCTCCATGACATGTTTTGCCCACATCAACGGGTGCCTTTTATTGCTCAGTTGATCTTGTTTCAGTCAAGTCAAGGATAGGCCAATAGCCGCTTCTCTCTTGTTCATCTGGGAAGCATAAGTGTTAAATTTTCTCCTTAAAAATAATGACAAATGATCCATTTTTCCCTTTTTTCTTTTTTGTAACCTACAAAAATATAGCCCTCTTTATGCAATGGAACTTTGAAATAAGACTATTCACTATAAAGTGGAAGACAGTATAAGACAAATCCATTTTCGATCTCATGGGGGGGGGGTTCAGTTACTGAAATTCCCAAAGCACCTTGTTATGCATAATCTCACCTGTAAGGTATATATTCATGGCATAGGCCCTAAGGAGAGCTATATAATGAGACTCCAGAGTATTTAGAAGCCCATGAGTCATGGGGACAATGAATCTTCAATGGAACATCTTAAGTCAGATGAACTCATATCAATTAAGCACTCCCACAGAACGATGAAAGATTGTGCTTTAAACCAGCCTGGCCTAACTGCAGACATCTTCAAGCAATACTTAGCATTGGAAAAGGAGTGAAATTGCTCACTGATGGAAGGAAGCAGAATTCCCATGGCCTAGAATCTTTTTTTTTTTTTTGTTACTTAGTATCTTTTAGTCATACCATCTATATATATCATTTGTAAAGGAGAAAAAATGAGCTTCCTCTGCATTAAATATTCAAATGACAGTAATATTTAGGCTGTTTGGTCATATTCAGTTGAACCAACACTTACCAAATACCTCCTATGTGTTTGGTGCCATGCTGGGTGCAAGGACCCAAAGACGAAAATGAAACAGTCTTTACCTTTAAGGATTTTACATTTTGTAGGGCCTGGGATATGTACCCACATATATGCATGTGTACTCACAGATATCCCCTACCACCACCCATTAAGACATTTTTACTGGAATTTCTCAAATAAACTAAGTTACATTTAACTCAGTTTTTCAATCCAACTGCCACTTATTAAAGAACTATTGTGTACAGAGAAGTGTGCTATGCCTGGTAGGATCCAAAGTTCAATTAAGAAACTGTCTCCTGCCCTCACGCAACCTATACTCAAGTAGCAGGAAGGATGTGACTGAGGCACAAGTTACCACCTCACCCTTTCGAAATCGTGTAAGAGTTAGGAAAAGTCCTCATGGATTTGAGAGTTGCTCTTTTGGTCTTTTTACAAATCAGCACTACAGAAGCGCTTTAAGTTTGGGCTTGGTTACCAGGCAACAAAACACTCCCAGGGATTTTGCCAAGCCAATGTGTCTATGAAAGGGTGTACACTTAGAGGAAAGGGATTGGATTTGTATTTCAGTGGTAGAGAGAACTCGCAGATGTGGCAACTCCCTTTACTGGATGTAGGTCCTAAAAGGTTAAATGCCTTTCTTAGGGTCACACAATCAGGATGTGCCAGAGATGGGATTTGAACTCAGGTCTTCCTGACTCCAGGCCCAGCTCTCTATCCATGCTGCCTCATGTGTATCTATGTCTGTGTGTGTCTGTGTAGACTGTTAAATGGAATTATTACAATTATTACTTCATGTCAAATCATAATGTTGCCAATTTTACCACTAGCACAAGGTGACTAGTTAGTCACACTTTCTATTGCTATCATTTCTGCAGAGCAGAGACCATTTTGTGGAATGTAACATATGTTGCCAAGTTGAACTCTGCCCATAGAACATTCCATGCTAAAAACAACTTGGAGTTTATGTTTTCCCCATCAGAAAAAAATGCCTATGAGACGCCAGATGTTGACTACTTAATTAAGGAGGCTTTTGCTAAGAGTTGCTTCCTTGCCACTTTCTCTTCTTACAAGTATATTACTGGAGCTATTCATTGTCATGACCTGAATGTTCAAATTTCATTAGCAACTACTAAGATTACATGAGCTTTCTTAACCATCATATCCCTATATTAAAGCTATGTTCAATTAAAGCCCTGAGATCATTTTCACATGGCCTGCTATTCTTTAACCATATTCTTATAAAATTATCATTAACCATTTTCCTTATTTCTATTTTGCACACCAAACAGCTTCTACCTTTTATTTCCTCCAGAGTTGGCTCACGATCATATAATGTGGCAAGTGCATAAATCATTAGATTATCCTTCACTATAGCAAGGTGAACATCAAAAATTAATCTACAGTCCTCCTCCTCTTCCTCCTCCTAACATTTATATAGTGCTTACTCTCTGCAGGCCCTGTGCTAAATGATACAATTATCTCATTTGATCTTCACGACAACTCTGGGAGTCAGGTGCTATTATTATCCCCATTTTACAGATGAGAAGACTGAGGCAAACTGAAGTGAAGTAACTTGTCCAATGCACACAGATAGTCAATGTCTGAGGCAGAATTCGAACTCAGGTCCTTCCTGACTCCAAGCCCAATGCTCTATCCACCACCATGCCATCTAGCTGTTTCTATTATCATATAGCCTCTATTTTCATGTCAACAAGTATTTATTAAGCACCTGCAATGTTCCAGACACTGTGCAAAGCAGTGG